GGATGTGTTTGTAGTTGGAAATGGGGCATCACATGTTTACCAAGGTACAAATCAAACCCAGCAAATAACAGCCTGAGAAGAGCTCTTAATGTACAGATCAGTTTTCAGGGCCACCACTGGTATTAGTTGCTGCAGGTTATGACAGGTAGGAATGCCCAGGCGTGCTCTCTGGATTTTCCTCTCATTTCAGGCTGAGAATGGCTCAGCCAAAGCCTTTCTTAGGCCTGGAAATCAATACTCTGGAAAAAAAATTGCTTGCTGTGTCCCATAAGTGATTGCAGTTGGTTGTTTATGTGGAGCTTTTTTAGCATGGGAAGCATGCTAGGAATACTGAGCATGGGGAAAATACTTCTGAAGTTCTCAGTTTTAAGTAGGGTTATGTTGTTCTATGCTTAAATGTTTGTGTTTTAATACCTATGTCACTAAAATATGAATGTTCCTATTTTTTTAAAGAGGGAAGGGTGGTGCGAGAGGAAAGCTGTTGTGAAAAAGCAGGTTGAGAACAGGCTGAAAAGAAGGGTTTTTAACAAGGTAGAGGAAAAAAAAGAAAGGATGACAACAAACAATCTGTGAAACTTTTATAGTTCAGCCAGTGGCATTGGCCAGTGTGAAGGGACAAGTCTGGTCCACTGGTTGTGTGTGGGGACCGTGGCTGCTGTCCAAACAAACGTTAATACTCGAGCTGAGAGAATGACTAAGCCTATTTAAATTGGAGAGGGGACAGAGAGGATTGGATTTGTGGGGAGGCATCCCAAAGCCCTTCCCAAAGCCAGGCAAGGCTTTTCCCTGGATGATCTGCCTGCGAGGAGGCTTTGCTGCCCTCCTCTCCCCCAAACCATAGCAAATGGTTTGAAGCCCTGGAGCCGTAGCCCAGCCATGACGACAGCGGAGCAATGAGCGCGGAATTCCCACGGCCGGGTGTCCGCCCTGGGCTGCTGCTGCCCAGACAAGAGTTGTCTGAAAAAAAAAAAAAAACCACCAAAAAAAAAAACTCCACTGCCAGAGCCCCGTGACCCAGCTGGGAATGAATGGGAATCCTGTCCTCGGCGTTTCAGCTAAAACACTGAGAAATTGTGTGTTGCAGCATGTCTGAGACTGATCATGACGGGGGCACTCAGTCTGAGCTTCGCGGCGCACCATTGTTGGGAGGAAGGATTACATGTTGCATAGCAATGCTCTGCTGTGATCCCTTTTCCCCATGTAAAGCCAGTTGGGAAGGCAGTCCAGCAGAGCTATCTGGTTTCCTCCGAGCTGGAAAACCCCAAGAAAAACAGTTCTGTCTTGCTTTGTGTTTCCCTCATTCTGATTTTGTCAGTATTGGGTGTTCTCACGGCAAGGTCAGTGGGAATTTGTGTTCCTATGTCAAGCTAAAAATCCTTATTTTCCTCCCAAACTGTTCTGTTTGATACTGCCAAACCAGGTGGTTCTTCAGAGGAGAGTGGGAGGACAGAATTCCCATGTGTGATGCCATCCCTGACCCACCACTTGTCTTTTTTTGGCTTTGTTTTCATGGTAGGAGCTCTCTCTCACACAGTACAAAAGGGATGCTCCTTGTTGCTGCTACTCTTGAGTTACTACAACCCTGTGTGGTGTCTGTGGAGTTGGAGCCATGGGGAGCATGAAATATTTTGTGCCTTGGATGGAAACTGAGCCATTCTGCTTCACATCTGTGACAAAGGTGCAGGTGGCCACATCCTTGGTGTGGATGAAGTGATTATTCAGTGGTGAGTTCAGGACAAGTTCAGGTCTGTGTAGGATGGAGGTAAATCAGGCTCTGAACTGTGATGAGCCCTGAAAAGAAAGCAGGAGCTGCTACAGCTCTTGAAATATGATTTTACATGGTAAAACCTTACTCTTCCTCATCTAACTAAGAGTTCTTTGGCAATAAAAACAGTGTTTTTCTCTGCTGGAAGAAGGAAAGAAGACCTTCAAGTTTGAAAGCACAATCCAGACATTTGTCCCAGGATCCAGCCAGCAAAGCTTTCTCCAAGGAACCTGCTGACTTGGATCAGTCTTGCTCTGCTTCCTGAAGAAATGAGGTGGATTTAAGTGTCTGTGACAGGAGCTTGCACCAAGAGGAGGAAAGGTCGTTGTGGAAGCTGGGGAGCGGGACGGGAACCAGAAGGGCTTTGCCAAGACTCGTTTTGGCTCGTGGGTGGCTGGGGCTGCAGGCAGCAGTTCCCCATCACGCAGCGCCTCGAGGAGCTGCAGCGTGACTGACAGCAGCAGGGGAGGCTGCCTGGGCAGGGAATTTTTCTAGGATTTTCACTCTTGCTGCCTCGTAACATTCTTGAGCCCTTCCCGGTCCTTCCAGGAGAAGCTTTACGGGGCGGTTGGGATGCACTGCACTTGCACGGCAGCCACACAGCAGGAAAATCCACATGGATTTCATGAACTGCTGCATTCATGGGGACAGGGACAATGGAAACCTTTTATGCTTTGGTCCACCAGAGCCGTCTCTTGCTTAACAAGGAGCTAGAAGCGAGTCAGGAAAATCCAGACTGGGGTTCATGTGGAATTTGAGTCCAGATTAGGAGAATAGAATTAATTTACCCAAATACACTTATTAGTACCCCTTGAGGGACCTTTATGCTGCTACAGGGACAGCTGGTGTGATGAGAATGTTTTAAAGCACCTCAGTTGGTGCTAGGTGGAGATATTTAAACACCTGAGTTTGGCTCAGAGGGTGGGATTCTGCTCACAGACTCCCCTGAACTGAGGTGCCTCTGTGTGGGCTGGGTCCCCAGGCTCCTGTTGGTGATGGAGATGTGCTCAGCTGTCAGAGGGAGCCTGGAGAGCTGTTCAGTGGAGCAGGTGTTTGCCTCACTGCAGATCCTGCCCTGCTCTGGCTGCCCTGACTGCGATGAGAGTTCGGAGGTGTTTCTCAGACTGAGGTGTTTAAACTCGAGTGTTTGCCTCGGTGAGGTCAACCCTGGCTGGCTGATGTGATTCAAGTGCCTAAACCTACATGCTTACACCTGACTGAAGGTCCTGCGCCATCAGCCAGCTGCCAATCCATCAGGATCAGGTTTTCCAACACGTGTTGGGCTGTATCCACCAGCCCCACGTGGACGCCTTGGCTGCAGCGCTCCTGCAACGTCAGCACTCCCACTGAGCTCCAGAGAGGTGGCTCCTGACAAGAACAGCCCCGAGTCCAGGTTCCCTTCCTGAGTTTCATGACCCTGTCTTGTTCAATCAGCTCCGAGCCCAGGAGCAGGACTGCAAGCTGAGCCAGTTCCTGTTGGTTTCTTGCTTTCCCAACTCCTGGGCAATGGGGGTTGCCTCCTTTTCCAGGTGGAGCAGATGCAAATGCGCTGGGGGAGGAGGAGAGGTTGAGGAAAGCCCGAAGTGATGAATGACTGCAGTGTGCAGCCCTTTCCCAAGTATCCCAGCAATTTCTGCCCGCTTTGCTGATGGTGTGGGCGTGAAATCAGGTGGAGGAGCTTTGTTTCACACGAACTCAGCTCTCACTTGCGGACAAGCAGTGAAACGGGACTTTACACCAGGGAGGGGACGGGTGAGGGTTGGGGTTTTCCCCCCTCCCCCTCGGTGTTGAAATGTGTTCTGCACGCTCTTGTCTGACATTGTGGGATTTCTTGTGGACTTGGCGAGACACTTTGGCACACAAAGCGTGACAGCCCTTACCCAAGGCATCCCAGCTGAGCGCTATAACCAGCAACACATCTCCCCCTGTAACCCGCCACCGCTCCGAATGCTACTGTGTATTATTGGATTGCACTCGCAAAGGTCTTTGGCTGTCACAGGAATGAAGTGTGACCATTGGACAGGCTCTGCTGAAGGCTGCATTATGCATATTGTCTTTCTAAAAATGTTTCTGGAATATCACAATTGGGCCAGGCCCCAGTTCCGAGTCCATGACCTATTGCACGGTTGCACATGGGGCTCAGCAGGATTTGTGCAGCCAAATAATTAAGAACCGGATGGTCAGGAAATGGACTGCAGCCAGTCCTCTGCTGTCAGGAGGCCACAGCAGAGCCAGATGCCATCATGGGCACGGGGGGAGGTTGTTTTCTTCTGTTTTAGGTACCGTAGATGCCCAAAGGAAGGGCACTTTCAGCAGTACTTTGGTCCCTTGTCAGGACTCAGCTCTGTCCAACAAACTCTGTCCTCACCTGCTGATTTAAGGGGTCGTTGTACCTTACCCATTTAAAGTTAACAGAATCTAATTTTGGGGAAGGGGCAGGGTGGGAGAATTAGAAATACAAATTTGTGTTTATAATCTGTGGACAAAATGTGGGGTATGTGTGGCTGTCCAAATAACATCTCTGCTCATGTGCTGCCCATGGAGGTACCCCAGGTGTAAATTTCTCTCTGGAGAAGCAGAGATGGAACATTCCAATGCTGTTTCTAAGTAGGTGGATGTTGTTTTGTGCCGTGAAACTTCTTTATTGCATTGATTTGAAAAGAATGGGATCCTTTGTTTAGCATCAGTCAGCTCATGGGGCTAAACTAAAATTGCTTCTTGTACTTGGGTTTGGGATCCTGTGGTATGGAGAAGGTTCCTATTGTCCACACTTCTGTTCTGGAGCATGTGCCACCCCACCTCTTTCTGTTTCTTCCACTTTTATATCTTACCTACTTATTATTGACAAAGATAAATAGGTGTTAAAATATGTATTAATCTCTTAGTTGTATCACAATTTCAGATCTCTATCTACATCATGAATGGCAGCACTGGACAATCTTTGTGCACCTTTCTAGTATCTTTAATTAGCCAATTAAGCAAAGTTTTTGCAGGTGAATGTCGTACTCTGGGAACTGAGATCCATTTGAAGTATTTCCTGTAGGATGTGTTTTGAATGTCATACTCTGGGAACTGAGATATTTTTGAAGTATTTCTTGTAGGATGCGTTTTCTGTCTGATTGCAACAGATGTATTGTCATCAGCTTTGTGTCCCTGAAGCCTCTTCTAGATAATATCATGTTTTACTTGATGCTTTGATGACTGATTCTCTTTGGGGCCGTGTGTGTGTCTGCAGGTCATCAAAGCCGGCGTGGAGACCACCTGCAAATGCCACGGCGTGTCCGGCTCCTGCACCGTCCGGACGTGCTGGAGGCAGCTCTCCCCCTTCCACGAGATCGGCAAGCAGCTGAAGCAGAAGTACGAGACCTCGCTCAAGGTGGGCAGCACCACCAACGAGGCCACGGGGGAAGGCGACATTTCCCCCCCTAAAAAATCCATCCCCGGCCACAGCGATCAAATCCCAAGGACTACGGACCTCGTCTACATTGACGACTCCCCGAGCTTCTGCCTGATGAGTCGCTATTCCCCCGGCACGTCGGGACGGAAGTGTTACAAGGACAAGAACTGCGACAGCATCTGCTGCGGCCGGGGCCACAACACGCAGAGCCGGGTGGTGACGCGCCCGTGCCAGTGCCAGGTGCGTTGGTGCTGCTACGTGGAGTGCAAGCAGTGCACCCAGAGGGAGGAGGTTTACACCTGCAAGGACTGACACGACCCGCGGCTGCTGCTGCACTTGGGCCAGCTTGGAGAACTGCCTATGGAGACAAACAGGGTTTGATTGACCTTCTGGCATCTGGAAGCTATGTTGAGACATAAGCACTTTGTAGGGTACAGGTGACCCAGCTGTGTTGCTGTTTTGTTTTGGGGTTTTTTGTTTTGGTTTTTTTTTTTGTTTTGTTTTGTTTATCCTGTAGACTGAATTTTCATGAGGTCCAACCATGTGGAAATAAGTGCCTGTCACACTGGGGTTAGACACCAGTTGACCTTCACCTTCGTCGTCTATGTAGTTTGACGGATCATTTCTCCTCGGAACGTTGTTTCAGCCATCCTCCATGAACTCCTGGGCTAAGAGATTCCCTTTGGCATGAATATCCTGTACTTCTTTATTCCTGGAGCTCACCCAGCTGCTCAGAGAGCTGAGCAGATGCAAAAGATCTTTCCGCTTCGAGTGCGGTTGTGCCAGAAGCGGACATTTATTTCTCCTAAAACTCAAGAGGAATTTGTAGGGAATGATGGGTTCTTCCAGTGGAGTTTCTGCACATGGAGCAAAGCAGGCTCTGACAAAGAGACCCATTGGGAGCATCAGCTCTTTAATGACGGCTCCGTCTCTGTGTGCATTGTCACCAGCACAGCTCGGAAACGTTGGGTCCACCACGCTGCAGACAGAAATAGATCCAAGAAAGAGGTTGGGAAGACAGCAGAACACCAGACGTGCCTGTCCACATCAGTCCAATCCCATTCTTTATTTAAAACAATTCACCCAAATGCAGGCTCTTTAGCACTATCGCTGTCTTAAATTTAATTTTTTTTTTTTTTAAACCACTAGATACTTTTGTTTCATTTTCACTTGGCGCATGATTTATTTTTCTCTCCTCTTCCCACCTCTTGCTGATGGAGGTCAACCTGTGGTAACTGCTTCAGAAATCCCAACTGGAACTCGTTGAGTTGAATTTGGACGTGTTTCTCTTGAGTAGGACAAGAGGAATCCGAGTGCCTCTTGGAACCCGGGGCTGTCTTGCCTTGTGGAGCAGCCGCTTTGGCCTGGATCAGACCTCTGGAGGAGCTGACTTTTCTTTCCTAGGTCATCATTCCATTTACTCTAAACCATGGCAGTGGTACATGACACAAGCTGTATGTAAACCCTATGACCTTAAGATGATTTTTGGTTTGTTTTTTTTTTTAACCACTAGATCGAGAACTGTACTTTAAAAACACACCTGCTAAATCCTAACAAACTCATGGATTTGGAATAGCCAATCAACACAGAGACAACCTGAGAGAAGCCAGAAATTTGAATGCAGGGGTTGATCACTCCAACGCTGTGAAACACATGACAACCTCCAGCATTTCTTTTTTTTGCTTGGAAGAGGAGATTTACAATCCAGGACTTGGCATGCCAATATTCTTCATATAAAAGTGGATTGGAGGCAGCCAGCAAATTGCCTGAATGAAGATTTCTAAGGAAAAAATGGGGAGCAGAGGGTGATTTGTTTGATTTTTGGTAGCAATTTTTGATTGTCCAGTAGTAGCAATTTCCACCGAGTTTCTATAAGCCATTGATCTGGTGTTCAAAAGAGGAGATTCTCAAACATTAGTAAAAATCAGTAAAAAAAAAGAGCAATTTCCCAAGACAAACCATAATTCTTCAAAGTCTTTTTTTCCTTATTTAATTTTTTCCCCTCTAATTGTAGCCACTAATATTTAAGCTGTTCATATGCATCTACTGGGAAGAGAAAAGATAGATCTGGGGTTTTCTTAGTTAAAAATACCTGCAGTCCAGCCTGGCTCGTTGGCATCAAATCTTGAGGAGGGGGCAAGGAGAGGGACAGGGTGTTGCTGTTTAATAGCACCATGGCTCTGCAGAGTGAACCAAAATGTCTCTTTTTTTGGTGTTTCCTTATTTGCTGTACAATTCTGGGGGTTGGGATAATGCTGGAGGAGGGAAAGTGGAATCCACATGTGGAATTCTCACCTTCCACCCCAGCAAAGCACCGGAAGGTCTCACAGCTTTTGGGAAAGTCACCCCTGAGCAGTTTATCTAATGGTTTAAAAAATAAATCGCCTAGAAACCTATTATTCAGTGTGTATATATAGATATATATGCACACCTTGACACATAAATATATACATATATCTATAAATATTGAACATTTATTTATTGTAAAGCCCTTCAGAAGGACCTTCTTATGGTTTCAATGTGGTATTATGTTAAATTCTCTTTCTCCCTCTGTCTCTCTCTCTCTCACACATATGTGCAAACTCACTGTTACATTTTTGTGTGTTCTAGAATAGCTCTTCCCCTTCAAAGTAAAGCCAGATCCAAACCTGCTCAAAACAGGAACTTTGGGGTCTGAATTACTATTTCTGGCACCATTCTTTATTTTTTTTTCTTTTTTAATCTGTTCTTAATTAAAGGATGGGCCGCAATTTATGTGCATTATTATTATTATTATTAATTATTATTATTATTATTATTATTGTTATATTTAAACCATGGGCCTCATTTTCCTTCTTTTCACTGGTGTCTCTGTCTCCGTTGACCTCGCTGGAGTAACTCCACATTGCACTGGTGTGAGAGGAGAATGAGTCCCTAGAAGCAGAAGAGAGGGGAGTGTTGGCATGGATATCCTGGCCAAAAAAAAATTCCAGGATGGGATGGGATGGGGTAGGGAAGCTTGGTGTGTTCAGCAGTGTGGGGGAGAGAGAGATGGGGGGGAAATCAGGCAGATTGTCCAAGCTTGTCTAGAAGGAAGCAGCAAAGAGTGAATGAACTACTGAGTGAAAGAGCTCTTCTGTGTATTATAACTCACGCACTGAAGCCTGGATGCTTTCTGTAAGTATTTAAAAAAAAAAGACAAAAAAAGAAAAAAAAAAAAGACAAAAAATAATTACAAAAAAAATGAATAACAAGAAAAAAAACCACCACAAATTGTATTTATGTTCATGTGGATATAGTACTTGCCTGTTATATATTGTAAATAGCAAGGTTTATTCTCCTGTGGTTAAAAAAAAAAATTATAAATAACTAAATAGTATCGAGGCACATGTGTTAAATGTATAGGCAGTGTATAAAATATACTAACACTCTGAAATCAGGAGAACTTGTCTTCTTGGCCTTTTGACCTAGGGTGGTAAAACAAATGTGGGTTATTTTTCTTCTCCCCCCTTAACCACACTGTGGGTGTGTTTTGCTTGGGGGGTCTTTAGTTCCAGCGTTTTCCAATGTTTGCCTTATCGTTGAAGAAGGAATTGGGGCAAAAGCCTCCTTTTGGAAAAATCCAGTGGAGCTTAAGTAGGAGCTGGGAGAAAATCTGTCAAACCATCTCAAAACCCTTTGGAGTGCTAGGCCTGGGTTTTCTGATGGTGAGAAATGTGTTGGACTTTAATTAACTCATGGAGCACGAGTGCTACTCCATCCAAAAACCCTGAATAAGAGACTGGGAACTCCTGTATAAAACACTGGGGGGTGTCCTGTAAAACCCTTTTTGTCCCAGCTGGATTAAACTGGATTTTTCCAGAGAGGCTGATTCTGCCACCACACCATTGGATCTCCAGTGCAATTCAGTGAAATTGCTTGGTTTTGTAAAACTACTTCAGCGGTGGATTTGGGTCCCTGAACTTTTTCATGGTGTCATTTCATATATATATATATAAATATTAAAAAAAAAAAGTGCAAAGCAACTTTCCCCCTTTTTCTTATCCCCAGAGAAACAGGATTTTGCTCAGATGTAACTGGAGAAGGACAGAGGGGTGGAGGGGAGATCTCTCGTTCCTGACCCCCTTTCACCCCCTGTCCCCCCAAAAGTGTCAAAGTGTTGGTTCTCCTAAGCTGATCCAGCCAGATCAGTTTTGGGGTGGGGGGGTGCAACCATTATTTATATAACTTTTTTATTAATTTTTTAAAAAAGAGAAGTTAGCTGATGGAAGAATATTTTTATTGAATAGTGCATTTTAGTTATGTCAGAAATATAAAAAAAATATATATAATATTTTTGTAAACAAGGCAAACTGAAAATGTTTGCTGTTTTATATTAGAATTTTCTATTAAAAGAAATAAAAACCCACAGAAATAATTGTTGCACCCGTCATCTGTTTTTTAACAAGCTTCTATTCTGTGTGACTGACTCATTTATGCCGGATGTGGAGAAATGCAAAACAAGTCCTAAACATTATGTTCTCCTTATCTTCCAGTTACCAAAAACTCCAGTTGGTGAAACAAGCAGTGCTTAATCAAAGGGGATTTTTAATTATTATCATTATTAATGCTAAAAATGAAAAATGAGTAGCTTGCAATGGAAAGATAAAAAAAATCTACCCCAAAATTTCAAGTTTACCCTTTTTTAGTTGAACATCCTGGTTTTGAGATGGGTCTGGATGGAGGAAATCCCAAATCTATTTGCAATTATTGGGGATTTGCCATTGAGCTCAGCTGGCTTGGGAACAACAGCTCTTAAAAAGGTGGTTGGGGAAAATAAAATCATAATCAGAGTACATTGGAAGGTTAAATGAAGAGGACCAAATTCCAGGCTTGATCCAACGCAAGCAACTTTTATCTATTTGAATGGAGCAGTATAAAACCGGGGAGCTGGGGATTCGATCTGCCGTGATTCGGGAAGTTTGTCCATCACCTTGGGAAGCAGGGAATGATTTATGGACCCCCTGTTTTCTTAAGAACTTTTGGGATTGCTGGTTTGGAGACCTGAGCAGGGGCTAAAATAATTCCTGAGGAGATTTTGCTGTCAGGCAGCTCGTTGACATCTGCCTTCCTTCAGGCCAGGTCTGGAATTCCTTTGTCCGCGGTTTTTCAGCTGCCCTGTTTTAGGGAACATACAGTCGGGTGTTTTGGCTGGGGTAGGCTTGGATGAGACCCCAGATGAAGGGACGGATTTCTCAAGGGTACTTTCATGGAGTAGATGCTGCTTAAGGTGATTTTCTGGTGGATTATGGTGCCTGTGAAAAATTCCTCAGTTGATGCTGCAGTAAAATCCGGTCTGTTCTGTACCCTGTGGAACAGGTGCAGTAAAGCTCCTCATTCCCGGTTTATCCAGCTCTGCGGGCACATCTGTTGGGTTGAGTCTGGCTTCCGTGGCCAGCTCATCCTGGATTTCAGTTTTTAGGGTGCTAATTAGGTGATGACTTTTAGAAAGTGACGTTTTCCCACAAGAAATGCAAGATGTGGCCTTTCTGGACCGCATCGCTCAGTACGGCGCAGGATCAGGTCCAGAGGAACCATAGGAACCATGGAATGTTTGGGGTTGAAAGGGGTCTTCAAGATCCATCTCATTCCAACCTCCTGGTTGAATCTGCTCAACTCCCTGAAGCCTGGTCATGGGTACCACCACTGAATAGCTTTTAGATCTATTTTTCACTAACTAGCATTGGATTTGACCAAATTATTCACAAGCAGAATATTTCTGAATAGAGCAAATAAAAGAAAAAAAGGGAATCTTGAGGCTTTGTGGGTGGGGAGGAAAGGAAAATGGATTTGGCAGCACAGTTTTACTTTGGCTTCCTGTAACTACAATTCCTCAGGTGCAGGGAGGGAGTGGGGAGTGAGGCCAGGAATTATGCAGACACATCGAATTCACCTGTCAGGGGAAACATCGGGATTTTCCCTTTCTCTCAGTTGTTGCTGAGTGTTTTTAGAAATGGGATAAAACCCTTCTTAGCACTGGGCAAGATGACCCAAAAGGCCAGGAGGTGACTTCCCTCAGGGGTGTTGGGAGAGGTGTTGGCACTGGTGTGGGTCTGGAATGACCCCCTTGGGAAAGGAGCCCCTGGTCTGCAGCTCTGGGGCACCTCTGGGAGGGGCTTGGCCCATGTGGAGGTGCCAGTGTTCCCTGCTGACAGTAGAAGGGGATAAAGACATCCAGCTTAGCAGAGGTGAGATTGAATTCAGGAAAATCAGGAGATGTGTGGATAATCCTTCCAGCTCCCCTTGAGCACGGATCCATCTGAAACACCAATCACCGAACCAGCCCAGGAATTTCCCTTGGACCACCCCCACCTTCAATAATTTGAAGCAGGAATGTAAAGTCTAGGATTTGTTTTGCACACCTGGGATGGCATTTCCTTTTAAAGGGAGGTGGGAATACTAACATGAAGGATTAGTATTTTTCTTGTTTTTCTTTTTGTTTTGTTTTGTTTATTTTCCAATGTCTTATGGGAGCCTAAGTTATTTTTCTCTACCTCATATGTACAGCTTGTAGGTATAAATCTGATTCTGAGTGACTGTTGAGAATGTATTTAAGTTATTTAACATCTTTGTATAACAAAAAAAAGAAAAAAAAGCAAGAACAAATGAAACAATAAATGTATTTTAAATTATACTTGAAGCGTGCTCCTCTTTCTTCACATCTGTTGGAAAAGTCTTTGTACAGTGGTTGTGGGAGATCCTTCCTTCAGCCTTATTCATGAACATAAGCCTGGCCTTGGGGCTAATTTAAGCCCCAAAAGTGGTGCCCTGAACTGGAAAAATGCCTCTCCATCCATTGCAAATGACATCCTTAAACAAGCTCAGGAGGCTGAGGGACTCCATCAGCTTCCCATGAGATTCCATGGTCATCATACTTTGCTGGAGAAGTCAGGATACCTTGGCAGAGTGTCCCTGTCAGG